GTAAGCAGAGGAGATGAGAAGTAATAAGCAGTGGATACAAAGAGTTGAAAATAAAATAAAGGTAAAGAAAATTTTTATCCCAATTTTAAAGCCGATTATTTTCGATTTCATGAATTTATTCATACTATATACCTAAGTAGTTTATATTGAAGAATTTTAAAATATGTAGTTTCGTATTATTTAAAAAGAACGATAGAAGATAGAGAGATATTAAAGTAGCTGAACATTTTCCTATTTGATATAGGGTTCAAAGTAATTCACCCTTTGTTTGATACCGAGTTGTGATTTTTGAGAAATATCTGGAAAAATAAAATCACCTTGATTTTATAAACAGTAAACTAAAACGGGAAGTTATTTGGTACGAAAATATTAAATCAGTATATACTTAAATCTATATAACTCACACATATAAAATCAATATGTACTAAATATCAGCAATCAAAAAAATAAGACTAGAATCACATGTATTTTTTTAAATTTATAAATATCTTTTAAAAACAATATCTATTGATATACAACATAAAATAACGGAATAGACGATGATTTTTTTTTATTATTATTATTTAAAATTTCATCCAAAACATTTAAATCTTTTTTGATAATCTATTTGATATTTAATTACAATATTTATTGTGACATAAATTTAATAAAGCTGGAAGGGCTAATGTTCAAAAAAACATTACATGGAAAAATGTAGAATTATTTTGGTCAAAAAAATAAATAGAAAAAGTGTCAGCCTTTGATTATGCGTAGTAAAAGTTTTTAATTAAAAAAATATTAAGCTCATTTTTAGGATGGTAATTCCAATTTTTTCATTTATTTTCTTGATATTTCGTAATGAAATATTTTTTCAATAAACGTTTAAATTACTCCACTAGACAATTTTTGTATAAAAAAAATTGGAATTTCGAGTCCAAAATTTAGGAATTTATATACTTTTTTAATATATTATTATTTATATTGTTTTATATTATTCTAATAAGGAAAGAACTTCTAGAAAAATAAATAAAAGTTATTTGAAGCTCTGTTTATAAGTCTTTAGATAAATTTGATATGTTTATTGTGTATATCAAATTTTGAAACATTTAATAATTTTTTTTTCAAATTAAAACCGACAATTTTCTTTTTATTATCTAGGAAATTTGTGCATTTTTCCTGAATGAAGAATTATTTAAATTTCTGCGAAAAAATTAGAGGAACAATTATTCCTCATAATATTGTAAAAAATACATAAAGACATTAAAAGATGTTAAAAAGTGATTTTTTTATTTATAGGGTGTCCCATTGATACTGCCATTTTTGTATTAAAGATTAAACTTTATTTTGAAAAGTAAAATTATTAGGTAAAAGTTTTGTAAAATATTTAAGTGGGGAACTATACTATTTTTTAGGGTAAAAATATTACTTAACGAAATCGTTGTTGTGTTGGGTACATCTTGACACCAAAATTTCAGGGAATTTTTATATTATTAATCACTGTCAACATCGCAAAATATCATTAATTTTATAAATAAATTATTGTAAAAACGTTGTTTTCAAGAAAGAGGGAGAAGAGGAAAAGGAGGGGCGCAGAAATGACGAAGAAGAGAAAAAGAAAAGGCGCAGGAAGAAAGAGAAAAAGGAGAGGCGTAGGAAAGTAGAGGTGGAAATTATAAATAGTTTGCTACAAATTCGAGAAAAATTCAGGCAAGAGGCAGAGCAACTGTACTTTCGAGTAAATTTCTTAGCTCAACAACAAGAGAATTTAAAAACTAATTGAGAACAGCAGCAAGAGAATTTAAAAGTTAATTTACGACAACAATAAGAAAAAGCTGGACCTCAGTTGAGATAGAAAACCAAAATCGTATCCAAGCTTCGTTAAGCAACATTGAAGCTGAAAACACCACCTGGTCTTCATCTATAAGCGAGCCAAACCACATTTATACTACAGTTACACAAAACCATTTATCAAGATCTTTAACCCTCCTACTTTTGACAGCGAGAAGACATGTGAAACGTATCAACTCCAATGTAAAGCTGCAGTTGGAACAAATGGTTGGACCTAGAGAGAGGTAGCAACCGTTTTACAGTTACTTCCCCAAGAGGATTCCAGTTATTTATCTTTCGAACAAGCTTTGGAGACAAGGTATGACCAGAAGTATTAGAAACCGATATTTCAAAGTCAGCTAAAGGTTCGTAATCAGAAACCCAATCAGAGTCTACAGGAGTTCGAAACCGATATAAGATTTACTAGAACAAATCGACATACAGGCAATCATTAATGGATTACAAGAAGTGGATATGCACAAATTTCATTTCGAGTGTTATTTGCTACCTGAATTTGGTGACAAATGTAAAATTATTGAGATGATCCTATAAAGAGATCATTTTTTATTTGAAAAAGCCATTTGATTAATTATGCTATAGCATTACAATGATTTTTTATTGGAAGATAGATCTGGATGATGGTAATTTTTTATTGGAAGATTAATTTTTTTATTGGAAGAAGAAAGATTTCGGTGATGGTTTTTTGATTGGAAGAATAAAGAATGATTAAAAGTTTGTTACCCACAATGATTTGCTGATTTAATAGTAGCTAACATCTTGAGGAAATAAAAAGTACCATAGACTGTTTGGAGACCTTTCATCTTCCTGTTCTACCCCTGCCTTAATGAGAGATCAATTTATATTGTACCGAATATCTAAAAATAAATAAATTAAAAAGTTATTTTATTATTAGAAACTATTGTATATTAGAATTTGGTTTTCCTGTTTTTACTGAAGGCATATTATTTATTTTTTATTTAAATTTAATAGTAATGTTTCCGTATTTTCATCAATTACTTTCATATGTAAGGATATGCAAATTTAAATACGGTACCCTAACTTCAGGGTAATTGAGTTATTACATCCTAGTGCCTGATCCACGACCCTTTGTACAGAGATTTAATCACTTAAATTGTATAAACAACATCAGATATTACACATATTGACCATTGGCTACAACACCACAAGACGACTATTGCAACCCAGGAATATAAAGCAGCAAAAATCATATCTAGAGAGAAATTAAACTCTAGGAAAGTGAAGAAACCACTATTATCATCCAACCTTACTCTCTCACAAATCTTAAACATTCTGCAAAATATGCAACGAAGCAGCCAAAATGAGAGCAAAAGATGCTTCAATTGCAGACTAATCTGACACCTTCAAAGAACCTGTAGAAGCAGGGCTCGTTATATAAATAAAAAATCGAGGAATGAGGCTAGAAAATCACCTACATACACCTTGCGAAGTCCATCATCAAGTTCAACGAGAAATAATTACAACAAATGAAGATGATGGCCTACACCTAGCCGGCAGTCTAAAAATTATCAGGGAAACAAAAAGGTCGATATTACAGGACAGGCGCAAATTATAACGACGTATATTATAGCTCCCTTTAACCTTCCAGATATTTCTTGACACGGAATAAAATTTCTAGACATTCCTAACATTCACAATAAAAGGATTTGAAACGCATTGTTAGCCATAATTCAAAGATTGAACGGCAGAATGACCAACTATTTATATTTACTTCCACACTCATATTTTCTATTTCTTTTGCCCATTTTGTTCATTTTTATCAAAAAATAAAATAAAGATTTTATAAAACGGTAGTAAGAGTGGAGCGTGGGTGCTACAGAAATTGGAGAAAAAGCAATTGGTAAGCTAGGAAAGAAAGAAGCTAAGGAAAAAAATATGGATAATGAATAAAGAGCTCGAACAATAATTATGAAACGTAAGGAGGACCAAGGATCACAAAATTGGTTATGTATAGAAGACTCATCGGCAAAGGGAAAAGGAAGAGGTTTAGGAGAGGGATGATATGAGAGCACACAAAAATATTTAATACACATGAGTTACAAATAAGAAAATTAAGACAACAAAAAATAGACTCATAACTTTTCTTTAAAAAATAAGATTGAATATTTATTGTACTTGGAAACTTTTTAAATAGACCTCGAATAGTAGATTTTTAATATTTCTTAATTATTAAACTTTTGAACTGTTCAGATTTTTAGCGATTACAATGGGACACATACTATTTTATTTTTGTAACTTATAGTCATTTTGTTCACTTTATCTTGGACAGACTCGATGCCTTGTGTCTGTATTTTTTTTTAAAGTACATCTAGAAATTTGATATCCTTTACAAAACCAAAGAAATTCCAAAATAATAAAGAAAATAAAAATGCATTATTTTTATAAAATCGAGTAAAGGTGTATCTGTACTGCGACCAATTCGGAGAATAATAATTTTAACTACTAAATTTAATTGATCAAAATAATTAGATAATAAAAGTTTTGGATCAAGTAATGAAAATATTACTCGCATTGTATAGATACAACTTTCCAATACATGCTCCAGAGTCCGTTTCAATAAAGAAAAGTACAGAAGCGTCATAGATGCGCAGAAACCAAATTTTGACCTATCTATATCATTAAAAAAACATTGTGTGTTTTTTACCTACATCTGTGAACACCAAATATTTTGTTTACGAGCCGCCCCTGAATATTATATTTAGGGAAAATAAAATCTAAGTAAATGTATAACTCGAAGAAAATCCAAAAAGTAAAACAATGAATGCTGTTTTATGTAATAAAGTCAGAAAGAATCTATTAATTTAAAATGAATAATTTTTTATTCAATGAAACATTTTGATAAATACCTGTACATATATTTTCAAAGAAATTCCGCCATTAAATTTATAAAATGGCACTATGACGACACTTTGACGCATATATTTGTTGTACTTTTTATTATTGAAACGGAGTTTAAAAAAACGAAAACGAAATCTTGCACTTCTTTCCAGCTATATCAAGCTAGCGGGCACTCTGTGGCGGCACCATTCAAGACCTGGCGGGTTTTTTGTAGCTTTTCTGTAGCTTTTTTGTTACACTATTTGCAAATTTGTAGCTTAGCCCAGGTCCGAAAAAAACAGCGGATCCGCTAACTAGAATTTATGGAAATTCAAGCTAGCGGATCCGTTGTTTTTTCGGACCTGGGCAAAGCTACAAATTCGCAAATAGCGTAACAAAAAAGCTACAAAAAACCCACCAGGTCTTGTATGGTGCCGCCACAGAGTGTCCGCAAGCTTGATATAGCTCTTCTTTCCCAGCAAATAACGCCCTCCTCCTCCAAATAAATAAAAAAAAAAAATAAAAATAAATTACACAATCATTATCTTAATTACCTAAACATTTTCCCTAGTATTTGGTCTATATTTACAACAACGACAAAATATATATCTAGCGAAACACTCCCTGTCTGATGCCTTGACCTCTTGTCATATCAAGTTAGCGTCCGTTTCGTTCAACACTATCGCCTCGTCCATTTTAATTTCTTGCAGCTTTGCGATGCATTTGTCGACGACGCCGACATTGTTGCCAGTGATCGGGTCTTCTTTACGCAAGATGGCCGCTTCATTTTTGAAATTTGTTAGTTTGGGGCTGGCACAGTTGCTTTGTACCTGTAGAAGAAACGAATAGATGAGAAGATATTTATGATGTCAGAAAACAATAATTTTAATAGTTGTTCTGTAGTTATTTTAGTGTAGAAAAGATAGATCAAACACCCTAGAAGTAACTATGAAAGAAAGGTAAAATTAGGGACTAGATAAGATAAACGAAGTATATTATTTATTACGGACGGTGATCAAAAATTCAGTCACAACATGGGTAAAATAAATAAAAAACAATTAAATAAGTAAATCCACTTAAAACTCATGAAACGGTAGCTACTGGGAAAGATACTTAACCAGTATAAATACCTTAATGGTGCATTGAATCAAAATAGAAAATAAGTAAACAAAATAACAATTAAACAGATAAATCAGTGGTTAAATAAGGGTAGTAATATTTATAACGGTTCCAAAATAATGCTGATGTTGAACCATTATCGCGGCTTCATGAATGGGAACCGATAAGTTTCCAAGTAATAAGAACATTTCTAGATCTCATTTTACATATGGGTTTGGTAAAATTACCACAGTTAGGTGATTATGGATGTACCAATGAATTGTACAACTTGAAATTCCCTAGAAAGAGCCATAATCGTTTCGAAATACTTCTTAGAATGATTCATTTCGCTGACAATAACAGTGCTGCTAGATATACTAACAGATTATATAAAATAAAGAATTAGTAAACAATTAGAAGTTTTAATATACTCCAGATGAGTATGTGTACGTTACAAAGGATACACTTATTCTCTTATGATATATACGGGAAAAACAACATTAGATGGAAGGAATAAGACAACTCCAATGGGAGTAGTTATGTCTCTTATGTTATTTTGAAAATGGGGTGTTAATACACGGCGACCTAAAAGATCTATTGTGCCCCATTCTATCGCCAATGCACTATAACGACCCTTCCAATCTTATTTCCTCAAGGAACTGTAGGATTTGAAGTGACTTCAAGTTAGGTAAATCTCTCTCTTCTATTTGATATCCTCCTAGATATCCCCTTGGATTCTGGAGTGCTACACATTCAGTTAGGATGTGAATGGAGGTTTCGTCCTCCTCCTTCTTACAGAATCTGCACTCACTATCCTCTACTACTCTCAGTATACTTAGGTGTCCTTTAGTCGGCAATGCCCGGTAAGGACCCCTGTTACAATACGTAGCCTGTTCTTGCTCGGGCAGATGCAGGCTTCCGATCTTTTCTGGTTATATTCACCCAGAAGTATCTTGGCCTGTCTCAGCCGCAAAAGATTGTTCCAATTATCGGTTCTTCTACTTTTTTAATCTCTCCGAATATTGTGTTACTGTTGATACCGCAGAACGGCCCAGGTCCTACAAAGGGTGTTTGATCCCCTTTCCTTGCAAGACTATCTGCAATCTCGTTACCCTGTACCTCGTTATGTGCCGGGATCCAAGTGAAAGTAACTCTATTTTTCTCGCCTAGCTCATTCAATTGTTCTAGGCATCTCCAGACCATTTTTGAGCTGATTACGTAAGAGCTCAGCGCTTTGATGGCTGCTTAACTATAGGACATGACGATAATCTCTTGTTTATGATAGTTTCTCTCGATGTTAAACTGGATACACTTCTCGATGGCGTGAATTTCCGCCTGGAAGATACTTGGGTATTTTCCCAAGCTTTCGGAGTGCTTGGTTCTCGGCCCATACATTCCTATTCCAGTTCCTTCTATGGTTTTGGAACCGTCCGTATACCACTGAATAGCACGTCTTTTGGTTGAAAGCGCGACGGATTCTTGGCTCCATTCTTTCTTGCAGCCCAGCTCTGTGGTTTTGAAGTTTTTCACAAAAATGTACTTATTTAGCATTTCATCCTGGGGCATGTCCCGAGTATCTTTAGTCCTGAAGCAAGTAGACTTTGTCTCTTACAAATGATATTTTATATAAAAGAAGAACAATTATTACTGACAATTGGTATAACAGTATTGATTTAGCTCACAATATAATAGATGCAAACACAGATTTCAATGGGACCCTTAGAAAAAATCGCAAGCGGTTGTCAAAAAAGGTCGTTGAAGCCAAATTTCAAGTAGGAGAAATATACGGAGAACAGAATGAGAGGGGTATATGTGTGCTAAACAGAAATGTATTAGTGTTATCTACAAAACACGATACAATGATGGTGGTTGTTGTGGGACGTAGACCACACGCTGTTGTTGAATGTTGTTAAATGTATATCTATTATGTAAATCCGTTGGACATGACACTACAATAATTACCGACTTCAAAAAGTCATTAGTAAAATATTTGACTACTGAGATAAATCTAACAACAATAAACGAAAGCATCAAAATCATACAATGGAACAATTTGACGAAGATAGTAAACATAAGAGGCGTAAAATGTGTAAAAGCTGCTATGCGACAAACAGCAATGAATATGGAAGAAAGTTCGCCACAAATCGAACCAAAAAACTATTGCAAGGACTGTCCAAATAAGCCTCCCATTTGTTTACATTTAGAACTTTCTATAAATTTTGTATTGTTAAGAAAATATGTTCTTGATGTTTATTTTTCATATATTTAGCCTTCTGCAGTGTTTTTTCTTCTTTCAATAAAATAAATACATAAAATGTTTTGTTAATTAATTTAAGAAAGTACCATTTTGAGACAAAGACCACAGCACATAATGTTATTCATTCAATGAAACTATAAGAAACATACTACTGTTTATCTTTGTCCCATGGGAACAACGCTGCCCATTGGAATAAACTTATGCTGGTCCGATGGGACCAACGTGGCAGAATACGTGTTAATTAATATATAATCAGTTACCTGCGAAGTTGACGGAAGCGACTGATTGTCTAATTCCAGCTCGTCGACGGCAGCGTCGGAAGCCCAACCTTCGAGTCTACTCGTCTTGTCCTTCCCTACAAACAATTTCCAGGGTTTCTTAGTGATTCGTTTCGTTTTCGGAAGAGTACTGGCTTTCTTATCATCGTCCAGTCTACAACATGCCCTATCCGATTTTTTCTTACCTTTCTGCGATGTGCTTCTCGAGCAATTGTTGTTCTTGGTTGACGCGGACTTCGAGGTCTTGTCTTTCTCCGACAGTCCCAGCCGGTCGGTGAGTTGTCGGAAACGCGAGAATATCGAACGACCCGTTTTAGTTTCATCTCTTTGCACTAGAATACTGTTTGTATCACTCACTGGATCTGTACAATTTTTAATACTATATTTGTTGTTCGAATCGGAGTCTTCCTGTTTAGTCACTTGATTGTTCATTTTCAGTTTTTGTTCGTTCGTAAACGAGGATTTTTCACTACACTTTAGGATGCTTTTCTTTTCGTCGGTCGCACCGGTTATGGTTTTTACGCTGTGCTCCGAGTTCCTCTTGTTCAAATTTAAAGTTTCTTTCGATACGACGTATTCACCGACATCTCGCTTTCTTTCTTCTTCGGAGTCCGAACGGTTGGCGAGTCCTTCTTCGAATTTCTTCTTCAAAGTTAAGGCGTATTCGTCGAGGAATTCCGGGGGGTCGAAGGATAGCTTTTTGTTACCAACCAAACAGTGCTGATCGAAGCTGAGACCTGAAATTTTAATTTGATAATAATTTATTACCGATATACGAGGCTGGACTGAGAAATAATCGGCATCGGCAAGAGTTGGCGGCGCTAGGAACAATTGCAATTGTTTTTCGTAAAAACTATCTTTCAAGTGACTTTTATCAAATTTTCAGCGAGCTGCATCACTTAGTTTGTACTTGACAGTGATTGAACTCAAACTGATTTTGCATTTTTACAAAAACGAATAAAATAGAATATCGCGCAGTGATTAGATTCTTGTTTTTAAAAAAGAAAACGAACGATGAGATCAAAATCGAACTGGATGATGTGTATGGGGACTCTGCACCTTCGTGGTCGATAAAATCCATGGTATGGTAATTGACGATCGACGGGTAAGAATGTGTGAGATTGCTGAGGATGTGGGCATCTTACGTGAACGAGTGGAGAATATATTGCACGAATATTTGGAATGACGAAGCTTGCTGCCAGATGAGTGCCGCGTTTGCTCAATGCCGACAACAAGCGGAACCGTGTGACAACTTCAAAGGAGTGTTTGGCAATGTTTAACCACAATAAGAAGGACTTTTTGCGCCATTTTGTAACCGTGGAGGAAACATGGATTCATCGCAATACGGCAGAGACGAAGAAACGGTCAAAGCAGTGGGTTTCTCAGAGCGAGTCAAAGCAAAAGAAAGCCAAGGTGGGTCTGTCTGCCAACAAGGTCATGGCCACAGTTTTTTGGGGTATAATTCATATCGATTACCTTGAAAAGGGCAAAACCATCACCGGCGATTATTACTCAAAGCTGTTGGACCGATTTGACGACGATTTGAAGCAAAAACGACCGCATTTAGCGAAGAAGAAAGTGCTCTTCCACCAGGACAACGTACCGGCGCAAAAATGTGCAGTCGCAATGGCAAAACTGTATGAATTGCGTTACGAATTGGTTCCTCATCCGCCATACTCCCCATATTTGGCGCCCAGCGACTATTATCTGTTTCCAGACTTGAAAAAATGGCTCGGTGGTAAGAGATTTGAGTCGAATGGGAAGGTCATCGCTGCGACGGAGGCCTATTTTAAGAACTTCGAGAAATTGTATTATTCGAAGGGCATCGAAAAATTGGAGAACCGTTGGACAAAGTGTATAGAGCTTAAAGGAGACTATGTTGAGAAATAAATTGAGTTTTGCATAAAAAAAGTTGTGTTTTCTTGCCTAGGCCGATCATTTTTCAGCCCAGCTTCGTAGACTGTGGCAAAAATTGGGAAAGTGGAAAATATTACATATTTTTAACAATTTTTTTCTATATATTTACCTCCACATCTAAGTTTTCCTTTCGCCACCATCTTGGCTATTTCCGAATGATTCAAATGTTGCACCCTCTCCCTGCTGCCCTTTCTCGAACCAGGATAGCTTTTCCTACCCGTTGTGGCGATGCTGCTTTCGCAAGAAATCTTAAATTTGAGAGTTTTTTCGGAAACTTCAGCTTCGTTTGCCGTTTCCGAATCGCCGCTTTCGGTATCTTCTTCGACGTCTTCTAGACTTTGGCCTTCGCCCAAAGCTACTACTCCGTCGTTATCCGTAATTTCTTCGTCCGTGGAACGGGATCTGGAAAATTCAAGCAAAAAATAGAAATGTTGATATCGCTTTTCGTTTTTGATTTTTTTAATTCCCCATTTTTAATCACATTTGTTTCAAAATAAATAGGCTTCGTCCCCTTATATAGCTTGATTTTTTCTGAAATTTTCAAATTGATATCGTGACTTATCGTGCAGACAAAAACTTTTCACAGAGTACTGTGTGAAGAGTATAATAATGACACCCTTTAATAATTCGTCCTGTAGCAGCCCCTGAACCATGTTAAAATACAAATCGTTAAAAATTGCCCCTAATAGTAAAAACTTTCTTTTATCTTTTCTATAAAGATTATTTTAAAATTTTAAATTTATGTATTGACTGTATTATATTTACTATGCAATATTTTATCTTGCTCTTTAAAATATTCAACAAATAGGAAATTAAATCTTTATTCAACGCTATCCAGTCGGCATTCTCGATTCCTTTGATGCCTTCCATTTATTCTCAAAGGAAATTTCTATTTCCAATTTACACGACGTAACAAAAGAATCACAATTGTCTCAAATAGAATTTTATTGTGCAATGCATCTATAATTATTATTAGTAATAAAGTAATAATTATAATAAATATTTATATGATTGGAACTCGTCATATAAAAGGATATATTTACTAGAAAAAAAATTTGAACAAATTTAATTTCAATTTGAGTCAGTGAGTAGTGTTAATAATAGTTAAAATATCTCTTGATGCTAAATCTGATGTAGATGAAGTTGCAGAACAACTAAAGGACGCAATAATAATATCATAACACACAATTAAAGAACAGGAAATATCACACGATGTTTTGCGCCAGTTGTTTTGCAAAAAAATATAACATGTTGTCACCTGCACCTGTGGATACGTTTAACCTTCCATTTTTTACTGTAGTATTGGAGAGAGTGAAACAGATTTGCGAGTGTGAAAAAGTTAGCGCTAATACTTAAATTACTGACAATTTTCCATGAGAGAGAACAGTTTTACAAATATGTTTTTCCTGGACGAAAAACCGTTAAATTGCATTTACTATTGCCAGGGTCGGCTTTCGTGTAGATTTTTAAATTCTTATGTTTATTATATAATATTTATACAGGATGATTTATGTGGATTATAAAAAGAGTAACCAAATTAAATTGGCATTACCATTAAATTTAATCTTGGAAATAATTAATTTCACTTACCTCGACCTGTTCTGTTGAAAACTTAAACTCTTCTTCATTTTGGTGTTGGAATTAAACTTTGGCACATTTGATCCGCTGTCAGGACTTTGTGATGTTGGTGTATTTTGATCGTTTAACGTCGTTTCTACTATACTTTTACGGTGCAGTCTTTCCTCCCTCGTTGCTTCATTAAGTCTTCTGTAATAGTCCAACGCGTCCCGCACGGGTTGAATGATCAAATCCTAAAAACAATATATATTATTTAAAGAATTTTTTTTTGATATACTCCAGAAGATTGCAATAAATTCTCAACAACAATCTTGTTGTTCATGGTGACGTTAGATTATTAAATCTCACGCCACTGCACATCTTCATACAAGGAAAAACCAGGTCAGCCATTCACAGGCTAATGCAGGGACAAAACCCAATAAGCCAACTACATAGCGCCGACCACACAAGGCTATATCAGCAAGTAAAAAGGGATAATATTCTAGCCCATGCCTACTGATAGAGCCATAACTACATACAAATTTGAAAGAAATTTTCAAATTCAAATACCAGCCTGAGAATCCTGGAAACAGGGACCTCCAGTACAGGCTGAACTCGTCTGGTACACAGACGGTTCAAAAACCAAGGAAGGAGCTGGTGCTGGAATCTATGGACCCAAGTCGAAATCAACGATTTTGCTGAGTATAGGAAAATATGCAACAGTGATCCAGGCTGAGCTAATAGCCATACAATACTGTGCAAGAGAAATATTAAATCAGCAAGTATCAGGCAAAACTATTGCCATATACTCTGATAGCCAAGCAGCTCTAAAGGCAATTCTTTCACCAAAAATCAAATCACGACTGATGAAAGACTGTCTAGAAGACCTGACAGAGCTAAGTAGTCAAAATAAGGTGACCCTAGCCTGGGTTCCAGGCCATGAGGGATATCAGGGCAACGAAAAGGCCGATGAATTAGCCGGAGAAGGCTCAGATAAGGCCATGACAAGCCCCTTCTGTGGAGTTGCTAAGGCATTGTGCAAGGCATCCATTAAACAATGGATGCAAAAAGAGTCTCAGGAATGGTGGAACAACTGTCCAAGACTGAGACAGGCCAACAGTTCATCAAGGAACCATCGGTCAAGTTCACGAAAGACCTACTGGATCAAAAGCGTCAAATCGTTAGGATAACAGTAGGCCCCCTTACTGGACACTGTCGCCTCAAAAGGTACATGCATGTCACAAATCCAGCAGAAGCAGCAACTTTCTGTAGGTTCTGTGAAGAAAAAGAAGAGGGAACATCATTCCACGTCCTGTACCAATATGAAGGCCTGGATGGAATGAGATTTCTAACATTGGGCGAAGAAAAGTCAAATGCATGCAACTACATACACTGTCAAAGCTACTAAGTCTAATAAAAAAGACCAGGCTAGACGACATACTCTAAAACAAACGAAGTTCCACAAAAGATCTGAAAAAGTCGCGGTGGACAAGGACAAATAACGTCCATTTCCTAATCTAAAATCTAATCTAGAGTAAACATTTTGATCTTCTCTTACCTGTAATTCAATAAAGAGTTCCCCGAGGGCCTCGAAAAGAGGCAAAAGGACAAAACCAATAAAAGAGCATTGCGAAGAGGGCTTTGTTATTTTCTCGCGGTCCATAAACGGCGTAACTGGAAGACCCTCCAGCTTCTCGGCGTCGCTTTGCTTGAAGAATTCTTGCAGAAGTTTGTCCAGCCATGGTTCGGCGACGTCCATAGGCCTGGCTTCGTTGGATATGTCGGATACTTTTATTAGAACCATGCATAGCTGAGAGAAAAAGTATAATTTAATTTGATTGGTAATATTAAGGTGGAAACTCTGTAATACACTAGAAGGAACAATTTATGAATTTTTACATACTACACTCCTATTCGATATAAAACTTTTGATCCAATCCAAAATATTTTTATTTACCTCATGTTTACTTATCAATATAATGTAGTTAACTTTGTCAAATGTTTTTTAAAAATCTGTTTATTTACTATAAAAATACAATTTGTTTTCAAAAGCAATTATAATGTGGTTTTAATAAAATAAAAGATTTGTTAAAGTTGATTTACCCAGTATTCTGTTCCTGAACTATTATAATACTCGTATGTTTTGCTGACCAGGCTAATTGTACAGAAATAAATTTAACAAATAAGTTTGTAGTTTCGGATTGAACTGAAACTCTTCGGTAATTTGAAATAGTTTCTTAATACTCAGATTTATAAATAGGAGTTATAAAATTATTCTTCCAGAAGCTTGGAAATACTAAAGTTAAAAGTAAGTTGTACAACAGATGCTAGGGCTGTGTTACAAGTAAAAACACAGTTTTTAAACGACAATGTAGGTAAACTATCAGGACCAAACGATGATTAGGACTTTAGTTCAGATATGTCATTAAAAAAAAAAAATAAAAATATGCCAGATCCATGACTTTATTACCGAAGTGAAATGTTTAGCAAAATTAAAGTATAATAGTCGTCATTACTTATGTATGAAGGTTACCTCACGGCACTTAGGCCTCACTAGGTCCATTGTGTATCCTCCTAGCTTGTGAGTTAGCCAATGGATGCAAGAAGAGTCTCAGAAATGGTAGAACAGATATCAAAGACTGAAACAGGCCAAATAATTCATCAAGAAACCATCGGCCATGTTCACGAAAGATCTACTGGGTCAAAAACGTCAAATGGTTAGGATAAGAGTAGGTATTCCTACCGGACACTGTCGCAGATGCGTGTCATCAATTTAGCAGAAGAAGCAACTTTGTGGAGGTTTTGTAAAAAAAAAACATCAATCCATGCCCTATGCCAGTGTGAAGAACTGGCTAGGCGAAGAAAAGCCTAACGCATGCAACTACACGTGGGAGCCACTGTCAAAGTCTAATAAAAAAACCAAGCTAGATGCAATACTCTAAAATTACGCAGTCCCAAATAGATTTAATAAGATCGCGGTGGAGAAGGACAAATAATTTCTAACTCCATTTAAATAGAATCTCATCTGGCTGTTTATTTTTTCAATGTCTTTACTATTCGGAAAACTCACTGTTAATTATCTTGTCTGACATTCATATCTTTACAGTGTGTAAAGCACATAAATCTACAAATACAGTACGACTATTTGGAATATTTTTACTTTGCAATATTTAATAATATAATTTGGTAAAATCCAATAACAATATTCACAATACAAAAATTAGTTCACATGTTACGCCACTGTCTAATTTCCAATAAATTTACAATGGAATGTTTATCTGTAACACCAAAACCAAAGGTTAGATTAAAGTCGATGTATCTGAATTATGTCATACGCCTATCTCGTATCGGGCTCTCCACGTTTAGTGGACACAATCTGTAGGCCTTCGTTTGACATACGTGTCAGCGCCCCATTCCCGTACATCCTTATCAACAGAGATAGCGACCCCATTATTCTCTATACCTAGAACTAATTGAATTCCTCGACGTTTCTCATTATTAGTGGTTTGAGTGCCCAGTTTGTTCTGTTTCGCAGTGTGTTTTGTGTGTGTATTGAGCAGTACAGAGAAAATAGTCGAAATTTTTATACATTTTCATTTTATTTTATCGTTTGATTTTGTAATAAGATACAGCAAAACATTAAAAACAACATACAGATGGATAATCATATTAAATACTAAAACATGAATGGACGAAACAAAAAACAAATATAATGGATATAAATAACTATTAAAACCTTGAAAAATAAGTTCAGGTTTATTTGTCAGTTCATTATTTATATCTGTGTATGATATTTAAGATTTGTTAGTACTTTTTTATTAATATTTTGAAAGTTTTCTAATTTATTTTGATAATTCTTTACTAATATTTGATGTAGATTTTTCTGTATTTTATATTAAACTGGATATTCATAAATACAAGATCATTATTTTTTAACATTTTTTTTTTATGAATGTTATTTTATAAGTGTTTTAAGTATTGTAATTTTTTAGCGTTTTGATGGAATCTCAGGAAAATAAGAAGTATTAAAATAGTTTCTGTTTTGTAATATAATCAACTTTTAAATTAACCCTTACCGATTACTTAACCAACTTTTTTATTCAGATTTTACAAAAAAAACGCAAGATAACATTTTCTAAAAAAAGTGGTGAATGAAAGTGGTTTACAGTACTTACCAAATTGACGTGTCCCTTATCCAAATAGTTAAAAACTGGACTAATTTCCTTAAAATTTGTCAATATTTCGTTATGTCTAGCCATATCTGTCGCCAAGATGCATCTAATCATACCTTCCCTGACTTGCTTGAAATCATCACTGCTAAACGATTTGAAAATATTGCAATCGTCGTTTTCCAATATTCTAAATAAATAAAAAATAAAATATATTATCAAAAAATAGGCAAAATGGAAATTGGTTTTTGTGCACTATTGAAAGAATATTTTAACATTTTGAAATTTACAAGAGTTACAATCGAAAATAAATGAACGAAATAAAAGTTGATTTAAAGCTGTCACCATGTATATGTACATGGTGACCCATTTTGAATACTTATAATATGTATATATTATTTTAAAGTTTCAAGGGATAACAGTTTATTACTTATTAGAAAAGCAAAAATGTTGTGCGGATTTTCTAACATAAAATTGTATATATAAGCGCCCCACTGCGAATACTTCACGATATTATGTGTCTCGAGAACATTGAGAGCTTTAAATTTGTGTAGCGATAAGGCAGCACCAGAGATAACAAAGATATAACCATTCATTGATAAAATATAATATTCACGATGCCAAGATTAATTCGACAATCAATACAATCTATTTGTAGGGACACGGCAAGGATACGAAAGGTGAGAAGTAAGAAACGGGATAAAAAGAGATTTCTTTTTAACGAATAGGTTACCATCAAATTTCAAACAACATAATAAGCTAAGAAACATTTTTGTTGGAAAATGTTTTTTATTTCCTAAAAGAATTCAATAATCAGCTACACATAGATGGGTTTTTAAAAATGTCAAATTTTAAATACGTATGTCAATCGGGGCTATTGTAATACACCAAACAAACACGTGTTTTGGGTATAATATACTGCATGAAAAAAATCAAGTAGATTACAAGAAGCATTATAACACTGACCTCATATTGGTGTTTACTAAAATTTTGAAAAAAAAAAATCATAATATGGAAAAAATAGTGCTTTTTTTTATTCCACCAAAAATTTTTGGAACCTGGGTGAACTTGGCATTGATTTATATAGTTATATTACATCCAAAACGGATGTTACAGAACCTAAAAATATAAGTCTTAAGCTTTATTTTGCTCTAAAATTGGTTAGCCTAACCATAAGCTATAATAGCTCTATTAGCTCATTAAGTTAAGGGGCTATTGTGATACAGAATATGGGGTTATTGTGATACAAACATTGGTTTGGATACAACCTAACCTACCATATTCATCCCCATTAAAAACAATATGTAAACAAGCTTTTTTTTTAAGTTTGTCCATTAGCTTTAAAAAAGTTTTAGTAGTAGAAAACTAAAGGGAATGCAATTCTGTACAGCATACGATTTTTTATTATATCTAAATTAAAAAAAAAACAGTTTTTCTTGCAAATTTATTGATTTTTTTTATTCATGTTAACCCAGGTTGACTACTGTTAGTTAAAATGTATAATAGTTGATAAAAAAATTAAAAATTAAATTTCTTACGTACATAATAAAATAAATTATGATTTTTACCTGAAAGCCACGCTACAATGATGGTTCTCCAAAGGTGAGATATCGTTGTAACGAATTGCTAACTCCGTTTTTGCGTTGATCTGGTAAATGTTATTGTAACCAGGATGATCGAGATCGTGGCAAATACAGGATGTTAACAAAATTAGAACTTCTAGGTCGCCAATTTTTGAAGGAAGGTCGACGCACCACGAAATTGCGTATAGCTGAAAGAGAAATTTATAATACTTATATTTTTTTCAAATACGTTTATATTATTTGATTATAGAAATAAAACAAAGTTATTTGGCTATATCTGTCACTTAGTTTTTATTTAAAATAACAATATATGTTTCGGAAAACTAAATTCTTCTGGTGCAACCACATTTTCATTTTTTAAAATAATATCGACGGGCATAACAAATATTTTAAAATATTTATACACAGAACCAATATATAAATATGAAACTACACCCTATATACTTGTGTGATAATAAACACTTTTCCCTTATTTTTTTTCTTGTACGTCTTCAAGTAGTATAATTATTCGTTTTCGATCTTTTAAGACTTCAATAAAATTGTTTTCTCTGAGTAAACATTGAATAAATTCGGGAAAATATACACCCTTTCCAATGAATGCCATTATCGTCAAATTGAATTTTTTGTAAGATTAGGATTAGAACGAATAAGGAATATGTATAATACATTTTTCGTAAATTGATTTCGTATATCCCTATGCTCAATTTATTGATATATTTTAGAGTAAATCAATTTATTCATTTTTAAATATAAACGAGAATTAAACAAGGAAGGAATTAATAGAGTTATAGCAAGTAGAAATTATTTAGAGATTTTTATTTAACACAAAAAATCGTTTTTTCGAAAAATATAAAAGATTAGTATCCATATTTACAAATAATTTTTAAAAAGATACCCAAAGTTAATCTATTAAATGTAGAAACAATTTTAAATGCCTTGGTATACAAACAACTATTTCCACGGACTTGCAGACTTTCTGCGTCACACTGTATTTGATTTGACAAATGTTTGATAGTAATCATTGCCAATACAACAGTTTTCCGGAAACTATTTTATTTGACATTGCAGGATCTTATCTAAAAACATTTCTTGCCGGATATTTTTATATTAACGTCATACAAGAAGCGAAAAGTTTTAAGCTAGACTTTGACGTAGATACACACAATTTCTTTAAATCAATATAACACATTTCAACGTTTATTATTACATTTCTAGGAAAATATTGACTCGAATGTCAAGTTATTTACTCAATTAAATAAATTGTTATAAGCCTTTTAAAATGAGTAATCACTTGACCCACATTTCTATTAGAGAATTTCAGAGGGGTTGGAAACTTATATTTCATTTCAGTAATTCAGTTGGAATTAATAACATTCATGCTGCGAACTATTATTTTTAATTATATACAAATTTTTTTAGTAAAACAGAAAAATAATTGAATTCAAAAACGTTAGTAAGTAAGAATTTAATCTTATAGCCTTCTAAGTAGGGATAATCAAATCTTACTAATCCCTGGACAAGTACTGTCTACGTGGGATGTAAAACCATGAAAAAAATGTGAATCTGTATAACCAAACTAGTAAGAACATGCTCATCTATACTGGACGAATTTTCTCAAGGTTTAAACAAGAAGCTGTAGAGTTTCTACTTGAGTTTTTAAGTTGCAGCAAACAAATATTTTACTGTGATCAGACAGAATCTGCGCCTGTTTACATGGAATTCTGACTCGTCATTGTCAAATACAGATGTACTTTTATAGCATGTGGCTATGAGACTCTCGAGCATATTCTCTACGATTTCCCGACACTCTTATTTATTAGATTTGTATTCGGCGAGTATTCGTTAACAACCACAAGAGAGATGCACCTCTCGGCGACGTTGTCAACCACATTAAATCTGCAAGCTGGCTCACAAGCTAAAAGAGGATGCTTAATGGATCCAATAAGGCATACGTGCTGTGGAGATAACATACCTTACAAATGTAAAGCCATACAAGTAAGGTTCTTCTATGTCTCTTTATATTTTGCTGCTTGCTTATTTTGTATTCTAATAAACTTCAAACGAACCAGCTATAATTGGATAATTTCCACTATTGATGGCTTATAAATTAAAACCCCTTATACAAAATGGTAGGTCGTCATAAAGATGTACACATGTCATGATGAACGGCATATGGTGTATGAGAGAAAGTTTCTTAAAGGCAAGCAACTAGTTTCAAACTTTCTAGTTTCTAACTATGTTTACTTAACGATGGCAAACTTCTTGATAATTGTTAGCTATTAAGCGCGCTATAGAGTTATGATTGACTAGAAACGGTGCAGCATTGCAGGAGTCCTATAATTATTACACATTTACGAACACAAGTTGATAAAACATTACTTTTACTAAAATCTTTTAATATTTTTCTTTAAGATGACTGTTTTAGCTATAAATCTACTTATTAATTTTAAATAACAAGGTTCCTCCCCCATAATTTAAAATAAAAAAGCGCATACACCATAATTTTAAATTTCCCTGCGTTATCATCAAATATTTTGCGCTTCTGCCAAAACTTTAAATTTCGTTATTTTGTTGATTAAATTACGGAAAACAATCGTTTTGAATTAGACATTTTAAGTATTGACGCTAAATAGGTTTAAAATAAGAGACATTCGCTATAAAACAGATAAAAAAGCTAGATAGACCAAAACTAGTCTAAAAGCTTTTTCTATTTCGAAAAGTCTCACAAACTGGTAGAATTACGGAAAAGAAGTGTTTTGAATTAGAAGTTTTAAGAAATTACGCTAACAAGGTGGAAAATAAGACAAATTCATTAAGATAAAAAAGCAAGATAGACAGAAACTAGTCCAAAAACCTTTTCTATTTAAAAAAATCTCAAAACTGGTTAAAGAAACGGAAAGAAGACAAATTTAAATCACAAAAATATAGAGAAAAGGAAAATAAAAGTGTAGAAATAAATAAAAAAGAAATAAATATACAAGAAATGGCCATAAAGAAAAAAATAGAAACGATAAAAATAAAAGATGAAGAAAAAGAAGTAAATGAGGAAAATCAAAGAAAAGAAAATAAGTATTAATAAACAAAATAAAAGTAATATGAAAATTAGGGAATTTAAAAAGAGATTAAGAAAGCAATTAATAGAATATAGAAAACAAATTAAAGAGAAGAACAGAAAACAAAGCAAGGAAAATAAAAGAAAAACAAATGGAATAGAATTTATAGTATACTCGAACAGTTTTATTTCATACAGTTTTTCAACGATTTTCCAACTTCAGCTTCAACTTCTGCAGGAAAAGTTCTATATTTATTCAAGACAAATATTTACTACAAACTAAAATCGATAATACAATCAAAGTAGCAGATTGGACCCGGCAAATAAGTACACTAATTCTTTATATATGTACATACACTAGAGATATAACAATGACTTACCATTTGAGCGACGCAGAAGCAATGCCTGAAATTGTGAAACGGCACGTCGTTGTAATTTTTGTACGTCTCGTAAAGAAAGTTCCTCAAGGTCGTGATGTCTATGGCGAATTTCGCACAAAGGTCGTGATCGAGGTACATCTGTTGCAGAAGAAGCAGTAGCTCCTCGTCTTCCCAAGGCCTTGCGTCGAAAGTTGGCATCCGTAACCATTGCCTGATAGCGTCGGATACTTGTGCATCACTGAAACAAATCAAAAACATATTCGAAAATTTGGCTAATTTCCCAATAAGTTGAGTTTTATTTTTTTAACGATCTTCTATTAGGAATAGTGCTAAATATGAAGAAAAGTAGGAAGATGGTAATAAATAGCAAAAACCAGCGAAAAGTAAACGTTTTGTGCTGCTAAGGATAGAGTCCAATGCCGTAAGGTTTTTATTGTGTGTCGAAAAAATTTTTTACCTTTTCTCTCTCTTATCATGTAAGAAAATATCACTTTTTATTAAATTACTTTTTCCTTGGAAAAAAATGAGTCGAAAGTACTTTTTCTCCAGATATTGACAGATATTTGATTGCTTTATAAGTATTTGTATGTCCAATGACCCTATAAGTACAACAACATACCAGTTTAATACTTCAAATTTCACATCGATTGATTTTTAGACTTTAATATATTGTAATAATATATTTTTCAATATTTAATCATCGTTTTCCCTGGTAAAAACAGTAGACTTCAGCTTTCGGGATAGTCAGTCACTCACTGAAAGGTTTTTTAAAGTATACTGTTTACCATAGTCGTAGCAGTTACTGATGAAGGAATAAAGTTACCTTATGGTCGACGGTTCTTGGTGAATTAAAGTAGAGAAAAGTCTAATGACCTGGGAAAACCTTGGATGTAGATAAATTAAGTCGACGAAATAAGCCTACGTAATGTAAATAATTTATGCTTAGTTAAATTTTGGATTTTGAAAATATTTTGACTGTGGCACACTTACCATATATTAGCGAAGTTTTGCTTCACGCGTTTTTTTACAGAATCACTCTTTCTCCTATACTGGAGACGCCGACATTCTTCACTGGATAGAGGCTCTGGAAGTTGTTTATAGAATCCTAAAACAAAATGGTTAACGTTATACATACTTTTAGAGATTTTTATCTACATTGAGTTTTTTACTTTATCATCATTTTATGGAAAAAAACAGTATAGAAATAGCTGAATAAGAATATTTTATTTATTTTTAATAGCTTTTCTGTTATATTTTACTTGTAGTGACTTGCACTCATTGCATAATATTTCATACTACATTTAATTATTATATAAACTAAAAATGTTTTTTAATAAAATACACAACAGTATTAATATAATTATTAATTTATTAAATTATAAAAAGTACGTTCAGATTCTTCACCTATTTGTATGGTTCATAATTTTAGATTTGTATTTTACCTAAACTGAAAAATTATTAAAATAAAATTTAAAAATTTCCAAATTCGATTCTTTCAACTTTCAAGTCGGAGGCTTTCGAAAGCCTCCGACTAAATCGACTAGGTTAGGCCGTGAAAAGTCGGAATAAAATAAACGCGAGAACAGAACTAATTACCAAGACGAAAAAACAAAAAATGAAAACAAAAAGAGTTTAACTTAATTTAAATAATTGAGTTTCTCTAAATGAAATTTACTGAATTTTAAGTCGAGTATTAATCCAGTCAAACTTTGAAATGAAATGAAAAAATGCGCCCGGAATATTTTTATTATTTACCCTGTTTATTGTTAATTCATTTCAGTATTTAAAAAGGAGAATATAGTCCTAAAGCCAACTTTAAGATTTGTGATTTATTATTAAAGTGTTTTAGTTTAATATTTTTATTCTTTTTGTGCGTTTTTGTTCAAATAATTTAGATGTATCTTAAGGTAATTGTTTGTATTACAAATTACTACAGATAAGTTATAATACATCAAATAATATCATTTTTGGTGCTTACGTCTTTCAAAAAATATCCTATTTTTAAAAAATGTTCTCACCTCTTTCTTTACACTTAAATGATTGATAAAAAAAAATAAATACAAATATTTAGCACATTTAAATTGTATGGCGGAAAAGCACTTACGCTTTTCAATTTCAATTATTTATTGAAAGGACGTAAGCGACATTACACGTTTTAGCGAAATTGTTAAAGAAATATTAGTGTTTAATAAAATTTAATATAAAATTTAAAATATATAAGTGCACTTTAAAATTAAAATATCTAGCTTAAAAAGTTTGCCATTTTACAAGCAGAACGGCAATTAGTAAAATGTCCTTTATAGAAACATTAAACAACCGTAAGGGTCAAGTTTTTCTTAATATTTTCTATAGTTTTTCTATATTAAAAACCAATAATTAGTTTAAAACATTTCGGTAAAAGCAATACTGAGTTTAATTCATTTTAACTCAACTACAATGTTTGCTACCAATGCTCTTACGACACCGCCATTTCAGTAATGGATCAGTTTTCAATGGAAAATCAACAGGAAAGCCTTGATTTGCATGTAATCTAGAAAATGACGAGATAAAAGGTACTCCATGCATTTCTTTCTAACTTTAAATGATCTTTTACTAAGCTTAGGTCTGCATAAAATTTAATAAACTCGCATATCTAACTCTAACGAATACATAGAAAAATGATGGTTTTTTCTTAAAAGATTAGCAATCAAAAAAGCAAAAGCGACCTAAACTTTTCCAATATTTTTACAATTTAAAAATGAAAATTTAGAAACGATGTTGTTACAATGGTAAAAAACAAAAAGAATGTGTCAGCAGACGTTGGACAAATATTGTTTTTAGCCCGTCTCAGGATAATTTGGAAGAATTACATTACTAGATTGTTATTTTAAAAGAAGTAATATAAAATTCAGGACCATAAGAGCAATAATTTGTTAACGAAACATAAAAAATAACCTCCTGTAATTAGATTTTATCAAACTGTTTTTTCTCTGAAGATTTGCTTGTAGCAGACTATTTAAAAATACTTTGTTTTAATATTTTAAGACTACTTCGTCTCGAGTATTTTGTATAATGAAAATTTTCAATATTTAATTCTTTTAATGGATCTGGTAAGAAGTGTTGAAACTTAATTTTCTGTTTGTCAACTCAATAATTAAAAAAAATCAATTTATTTTTGTAGACAACCGCCGCTTTATCTGTATTGCCTTCACTGTCGATTTTCTGAGTTTCGTACATTAGTGTTAAGGAAGAGGAACGATCTGATAAGTGATATTGACAGTCGCTGCCTTTGTGTATGGCTATTTATAGAAATAAACTGGCAGAAATTAGAAATGGATTCAAAGAGGATTCAGTGTATCAAATTAGGTAGAAACTAATGAAATTTTATCCGTAAATCAATTGGATTATATTTAATTTATATATTATGGTTATTTTTGTATAAAGGGTTGAGATACAGTGTGAAAATGAAACTTTGGAGGTTGTTGTAATGAATTTTATATTACCTTATATTGCACCTGATCTCCATAGATGTATCAGCAATTTTATCTTAACCTAAATGACCTAAAAGCTTAAAGCTAAGTAACAAGATGATGAGGCGGAAAATAAAGTTATCGATGATAACAGGTAAAAGAAAGAATCATTATCTTCAGTATCTAACAAAACTAAAATCCACATAATGTTCTATTTTATTTTCTATCAGTCGTATAAGCTGTTCGTTAATTATTTTCCAAATTATAAAATTGGGTTTGAGAAAACCTAAAGTGGATAAAAAGTTTTCCTCCGATCTGACGAAATGACGCTGACCTTCATGTGGTTAATTTTTGGTGGGTACAGCACTGGGGGTTAAATTATTAGTGTCGGAACAAAAAGTTGATTATACTGGCGAGCTGGGGATTATTATTCACAAACAACAAGTTAATAACAGTTAATTGGGTTTGCATTTTTAAAACGTTCAAAATTGGAGAGCGGAATATTATGAGTTTGAAAATAAAACTGTTATTGTAGATGAGCTAAGTAAATTTATATTGTAATTTTTCTACGGGTTACTAAAGATCTGGCAGAATGAGTATGGATATACAGTGTGGAACGAAATTCCTTATAAATATTTTATATTTTGTTCAGATGACGTAAAACTTATTGTTATAACTTATTTTGGCCCTATCAATATTTTATATTCTGTATAGATGATGTAACTTTAATATTTCTCCCGTTTATGCATAAGTTCGTTAGATTTCCAAACTGGCCTATAGATGTACTATTACTGTTACTGATATTCTTTTTATTTCTAAACCTGCAGTGGCTCCAAGCTCCAGGTTATGTAGCTTCTCCAAACAAGCTTCCAAGCTACAAACTCCAAGTTAAGTAGTTTCTTCAAGCTCTAAGCTCCAAGTTACGTAGCTGCTCCAAGCTCCAAGTTACGTAGCTTCTTCAAGCTCCAAGATCGAAGCTTCCAAGTAATTTTTGACGAAGCTCCGAAGTAGTTTCCACGTAGCTTCCAATCTTCAAGTTTCCAAGTAGCTTCACGTAGCTCAAAGTAATGTCGAAGTACCCTCATTCAGTATCAGACAGACTTCATCTACCCAGGAGACGATTTAACAGGGAAGTTTTTTATTACTATTCAAGTTCATTCAGTCGTTAGAGTCATGAATCGGTAATTCATTGTGTAACAAACATTAAACTTTGGATTTATTTCATCTTCATTCTTGTCATTAAATGTATCATTGCATTCTTTTCATTAAATGTATGAAATTTTCTCAATTTGAGGTATCAGAGACCGAACAATAAAACAGGGCATGTAAAATCAGATAATTTTTCCAAAAACTTGTGGGCACTCAACATTCTTTTGTCGTTATAGTACCTATTATTGTATCTTTCAATTTTACTTTTTTTCTCTGGAGTAACTATAACTTTTGTTTAGCTAAAACGCTCTCAGCTCTTTATAGCTCAATTTGACAGTTAATTAGATCACACTTTTTGCAGATGGCTGTTCGGCAAAAACTCTATATTACTGAACTTGCCATATTTATTTAGTTAAAAGCTTTGTATATTCAACTGATACTTAGGTCCAAGCTTAAATAATATCTTGTTAATTTGTTTCTTGAATAATAGCTCATATCTCGTGGAATTGAATTTGACATGACTTCTTACGAGTTCTTTGTCAGCTTAACCAAATTTACTTACAGCATTGTTTCCGTCTTTTTATCTTTGAATGTGGTTTAGCCTAGTTTCTCTTTTCGGACAAGAAGTTCATTACAACATTACCTTTCCCATTCGATACAGTATACGATTTAGTATACTGTCTGTCAATTTTACGAGAAAAGTACCTTGGGTATTATAGTTCTGTTCGTAAAACTCATCGAAGCATTTCTTTTCTGACGAAATAGTCTTGATTTTGTAAGTTTTGTACGCTTTTCCTACTAGTTTTAACCTCTGAAGAAACCTTATTACTAATTAAAAATATCAATGCTATGTTAGGATTTGAATCTGAATTTATTACCTCATAAACCAAGTTTACGTGTTTTCAGAATATATATTTCTTACCCAGTACCGTATCTGGATACCTCGTAAACATATATGACAACGCGAGAAAGTGCTTGCCGTAGCGAAAGGAAATGCATACTTTCCTGAAAACTAATTTGTCTAATGCAATTCCAGCAAGTGCGAATTCTCGCTTGCAATTTCAGATTACTTTCGAAATTATTAAGTTCGTTAGATACTGGTGTGTTCCTTTTAAAATTAAAACTTTGCTAAAAGTTTTATAAATATCAAAGCTCGTTTTAACATTGCTATCTATAAACTTGCTGAAGATTAAATTCTAATCTTGTTTAAACTGCATTAGTTAGATAGTACAGAAGTTAATTGAATAATACCCATGAGAGGCACAGACAAAGATAACAAAAAACAACGAATACTTAATGTAAAAGCTAGAGAAAGAGTTTTAACAGAGTAAAAGGAAATGTACATTAAAAAATTATAGAAGGCGAGCAATGACTGGTAATGAGGAATACGGTTTTTGTAAAACTCGTCTCTATTTCGAAAAGTTTATGAATTAATTCGATAGACACAATGCAAGTTTGTTTTTAAATAATGTAGATCGAATAAAAAATGCGCAAAAAAGTAAAGTTATGAATGAACTAAAGAGAAAATTAGTATGGGTACATCACAATATCTGAACCCATTGGAATATATCAGAATTCTAGGGAAGATCTGGACCCCACGGGTAAACTTCTGGCACAAAATAAAGTAGAAACAATTTGATTTTGAACGAAAAACCCCAAGATGATAAAAAGTATAGAGACATCGAATTTTCTGGTTTGGACAGTATTGATGTTAGTTATGCTAAATCCCGTATAATTATCGATAGTTTGAGAAGATAAAAAGTGTTCACAGCAAAAGAACGAAAAATGTACCATAATATCATATAAAATGTGTAATTTATCTTTTTGTATGGATTTTTTTACTTCGTTTTATACCTAACTGTAAATCACTCACAATACATTTCTGTCCCAACTTAAAACACGACTAAGACTTATAGGTCCCACTTATTTTTTGTTTTCTTTTTACAAAAAAGAAATAAATAAAAAAATTATTTTTGTACTCTTTACATTGTTTCATTATTTCTCCAAAACTAAAATATTGCAAAAACAAGAACATAATCTGAAGGGAAATGATGACTAATGCTAGTATTTTACAGAGGTATTTCTTTGTTATAAAATAATGCTTCAACTTGTTATAACGGATGTGTATCGTTATTTCGAAGGGTGCGTAAAATCAAGGCTTAGCAATATTAAGAAATGAATCTAAAGTATTTAAAGTGTGTAGGTAGAGTTTTATTAATAATAAAACTCAGTAATATTAGTCTTAGCGCTTTCAGCCTGTCAGGCCATCATCAGAGACACTACAAAGAGAGAAAAAACGGAGCTACAACAATATAAACAAATCGTGATATTCCTGAACAATGAAAAAAAAAAAAAATAAAAAATCTTGAAAACTTACTCGTCAATAAATGTAGAAGTAGCATGAAAATTAATATATCAATAGATTAAAAAAGGGTTGCCACAATACGGTCCCTGTTCTCTAACATAACTTGAAGCTGGTTGCAATTTAAGAAAAAACGTGGGTGCTCATCCCAACACGTAGAAATAAACAGTCTCACCCGTTTTTCTTCTTTAGTAATATTAGTCTGGTATTTAAGAATTTATAAAACAATTTCTTTCAATTCAAAAATTGGGGGTTGGCTCCCAGTTTATAAAAATTCTAATTTATACTTCTCTTCTCAACTGGAAGATAATGTTTATTTATTACCTTCCTTATTCGTTTCCGGCTGGTTAACTCTTCTACGATCGCGGTACACCCCACAGCGAGATACTTTCCTCCCAACATCAGATAATATCAATTTTCCTCGCAATTCATTTTACGAAATGAAAACAAGACAATTGACGAAAAACACACAGCGAAAAAAGAATTGAGTAATTCAATTACTTGAGATGGAGAAGACAAATTGGTTTAGTTTAGGAGGAAAATGGAAAGTTAGTTCGAATCGATAGTAGAAAGGTGGAAAAACTCTGGGGAAAACAACGGTCTTCAGTGACTGGAACGTTTTTTAACTTTTACAATTGTTAGCGCTTTTAAAGTGATTGAAAACCATTTTGTTAGAGGAATATCTGTAAAAAATGTTATTTTATTTATTTCTTTTGAATCCGTTAATAATGTACAATATTTCACAAAACAATATTTTTTAATATTAATGCTAAATAAATAATTTTACAGTGAAAAATAGGGAATTTAAAAATTTGGGCAACTAATATTAAATTTTGGTAAAGGGTCTGAAGAGTTTTCCTATTTATAATAAATTTTATCAATTTGATTGATATATTTATCATCGAAAACCTGACATTATCTGCCGCAAAAACAGATCAAATTTTTTGTATTTTTCCGAAAACAAGGGTTATGTAATGAATAATAAATATTTTCCATTATTATATAATAAATTTAAAAATTTGGTGGATCTACCTAGTTATGTAAATATTTTAAATTTTGGTGGGTGCGCTGAAAATTAGTGCAATAATTATTAATTAATAAAAAATATTCGGATGGAATCTGTTTTTCTTCTCTATATGAATAAAATCTTGGTCGAATTCTTAAGCTCCTCCATAGGCATAACAGTAACGGTATCACGACAGAGGAAAGGGGGAGACGGTGATAAAAAAACTGATAGAAAAGTTGAGGGTTAAAAAAATTAACCCCTTCGAAATGAATCACAGGAAAAAGAAAAAAATGTTCACAGAGGTCAACGCGTTATCGTCGTCTTACTATGGACATGGTTCAACTTTAAAATGGCGCAAGCGTACTTGAACGTATGTTTTTCAGAAATCAAGTATACTTGTGCAATAAACTTGTACATGTATACTGTTCAAGTATACCGGTACGTCTATAAGGACCTTTAATCTTTCTCAATTTTTCTTTTCTTGTAAATTTGATACTAAATTATATATTTGATACACTACTTCTCTTTTCCTTTTCTTTTCTGTGTTCCGATTTAATTACCAAAACATTCTGTCTCTAATAAACATCCTCTAAAGCTATATTGCATAAAAAAAATCCCCCACCAAATCATTGATGTTAGGTCCGTTAAAAAGTTAAATATTTCTGTAATTATTTACAATTATTCTTTCTCTAGCTACTAGATACTTGCACATCTTGGATGGAATCTAATTTGATGTAAATCAGAAGGATACTTCGTCCTTAAGGACGAATGTCAAGTACAATCTGAATATTATTTTGTTTTTTAATGACTTGTAACTTTTATAATTTTGTTTTGTTACTGATTGTAAAATAAAAAAATAATATTCAATCACTGTTTTTGTATGATTATTTTAAATACTAACAAGTCATGAGACTTCTATAAATTGAAGATGCGAAAACAAGTTATTTTGGCTCAATGCACATATTTAATAAAATTTCAATATTAACATAATTGTAACGAACTGGCCTAAATTAAAAAAAAAAAATTATGCCCCACAAACCAATAAAAAATAATGGATCGATCTGAAAATGGTAAATCCACAATAACCTTCCAAAAATAGAAATTCTATTGCCCATCGCATAAAAACCTAACGTTTAATTACAGTTCCGCAGAGATACACGTTTATTGAAAATTTGCAGCAAACTATCGAACTGTAACTGCAACTGCAGCCTGTTGCGGCTTTCAGTTACTGAGAGTTATACCAAACGAATTCCGTTCACTTTCAGAGCTGGGAGCGTTTGAATTCCCCAGCGGCAGCACATAGAAAATATCAACAGGTATGCAATGTTTAATAGACAAAAAACAACATGAATTTATAAAAATAATTGGCATTCATTGATTTTATCAAAAGAGCCTACAATTGAAGAAAGTAAGGACGTGATCTTAATCTTATTTGATTTTAGACACGCCTTCGATAGCGTCAATCAGGAATTATTCTTAAAAAAAAATATTTCACTATGGTTATTTGTCGTATACTACAAAACTGGTTTCAATTACTACTTTATGATCATCCACAGGCAGCCAGAAAAGGCTCAAAAAATGGTCAATATTCAAGACAAATTATTCGTCATGAACAGTGAATAATACTCGAGTTCCTAAGGTTAATTCTGAGCTCATTATTATTTACCTTCTATTTAAATGAATTACCTACAAGTCTATTACAATTTTTTACTTATTCATGTACAGATAATGCAACATTACTTATTACTGTAAAAAAAATAAGAGTTTTCCTAAGTCATAAATAAGTTTTATTCACCTTCTCCCTATAAACGTTTTATTAAAAATTGGCAAAAATGATAAAAATAAATTTAATGGTGAAAGATGGTAAAGAAAACAATTAAAAAAAAATCGAATGAAATTTTAAATTTTATATATTGTTTTCTTTAAAAAAAATTAATTTTTCGAAACTTTATATACATACGTTATAAGATCACAATGCAAATTAAATTTTGACCTTACAATTCGTTATAAAACTTTGTATAATCAACTTACCAAGCCAGCTCAGACTCTCAGTAGTTTCCAGCTTCTCCTTAAACGCGTCGACTTCCTTTTGGAGCTCCTCGACGGCCGGCGGAAGCGGTAGTTCCCACCGAAGTTGCCTTTCGATGGCCGACACCCTGGCTTCTAAAGCTTTGAGATCAGCACCGGTGGATTCTTGGAGCATCGCCAGGCCGTTGGCGGCGACAACTTGAAGAGAGTACCGGTTATTCTGCAAAATAAAACAAACAAATTAATAATTACATGACAGTCAAATATGACCCGTTACTTATCATTCAAATGCATAAGCTTTAGAACAGTCATAAATTATCCAAGTTTTTAATTTGACAAACATAAGATTAAGATATGTTTTAGAACTTATTACTATGAGATAATCCAATACAGTTTTGTCTGTGGCAAATAAATTCAAACGAGTGGATATTATAATATCGCTGAAAATAATGTTCACGTCTCAATAATTGCCTTTATGTTACTATAAATATCGAGAGAGTTCTTTCATTAATATTTATAATGTATTAGTTACAGTTTAAATTATCTTTCAGATAAACATATCTATATTGAAAACATTTCTAAATTCTAGCAGAATAATGACATCGAAACTTGTAGGTTAGTCGTAATTTTAGAATTACTTCTAATATTTTGATGGAAGATTTGGGATGTATATTTCTTATCTTTTTAAAATTAGGGATTATTATTATTATTATTATTATTATTATAATATGTAATTAAAAACTTACTTGAGTGTTTGAGGGAAGATCCGAGCAAATATTCAGCAATTGGCCGTCGGTATTATAGAGTTTAAGGATGTCTCTAGGTCCCGCCTCTGCAGCCGCTCTAAATAAATCTGAAACAAAGAAAAACACATCATGTATCTGCAAAAAGTGTATTATTAAATCACCTATAATGAAATTTATTTTTGGCCCCCAGAATAAAAACAATCAAAATCTCGACCCCAGGAGGGATTCGAACACACCTATTTGTGTTCTACGCATACTGCCTTGCTTAAGCTTTTAGGACATTAGATAATTTCTCTAAAAATACCAAAATTTGATGTAGGAAATTAATAAAATTGAGTAAACTAAATCTCTTCAAATTTCTCCATATTATATTTCAAGAAGGATCAACTCCAGGCTCAAATAAAACAAAAGGCTAAAGAAAAAAGACAGCATTTTTTGCATAATCTTTTATAAATGTCATCACCGAGAACTCCATCACTACGCAGCAAATTATTTCAATGTTCTACAAAGTAATAATTAATGATACATTTATAATTTTACCTTATAATAAAAGTGTCACTGGCTATAAAAACAAAAACAAACTGAATATGCGGATGTGTAACTGGAACTCAGAGTAGGAAACATAATAATAAATTTTGATGATTTTAAGCAGAAGTAGAATTTTGAAAGTTTTCTGGTCAGCAGTTTAAAAGAATCATCACGCCTGCAGAAAAAAATACTTCCATTCAAATTGTACCAGAAAATATTCCACGAAAAGTGCAAGTAAACATTTTACAGAACCCTTAGTTTTCCAATAAACATTAGGTAAAACCCCAAAAATGAATTACGAAACAAAATACGATTAGCGTAGGTATTTTAGGAATTAATTTCGAATGGAAAACATTTACGGTTTCCACTTTTAACATGATTTTGCACCAATTTAAGTAATAAAAAAGGCCCGGGTGCTTGAAACACGATCCGTCGGGCTAATAGCTACCTGTTAAATGAATTAGCTATCATAAACAAAGGAAACTGGATACCATGTAATATACAACAGAACAGGATTTGTGTTATTAAGTGGATGGATAAATTTTCTGGTTATCTATACAGGTTCATCCCTTTTTTTTATATGTCTAATAGTTAAAATAATATAAAATTTAATCGAAAAAAAAAAAAGGTTGATACCAATTATAACAATTCGTTTAATACGGCCCTGTTTTTTTGGTCCAAAGTTCAAACGGTCAGTAATCTGTTACTTTAAAGAAGGTATCTGGTAAAGTTTACTTGAAGTGTAGACTGTAGACCTGATGATTCCTTGCAGACAACTGATCAATGTCTACATTAAATTTTATTATTTTTGTCCAGAAAATATTTCAAATTTTCTGTGTATTGTGTAATTACATTTTTATAAGAGAGTCGGCAAAAGCAAATAACATCAGATGTGTATGGAGCGAGGCGTTACAACGATCTGACGCCAAAAGCAGGAAATACTCACGTTGTATCTTATGTCATCATCTGGCCAATTATCTTTTACAGTTTTCGTGGGTCTTTGTGTTGTATTTTTATTTCTTCAAACTATACTAGTTTTGATTTAAATTGTTTCTTGACGAGGATGATGCGAGCCCTAAGCGTTACAGTTACAATAGTTTTCTCTAATTTATTACGTAAGGCTGGCTTATAATTATGAATTAATGAAACATAGTTGAATTTGCAACAAAACGCGCTTAATGACTAAAAAGTGACTTCAGTTCTAAAAAGGGGTGAATTGTTAATTGTTTTAGAGCCTAATTTGTAAATTGGTGGCACGTTAAATGGCCACTGGATTTTAGTACTCGAGTTAATTAAATTTTGTAAGCTGGTATGCATAAATCCGAAATGAAATTGTGAAAGGGTTGAACGTGTTATAAACATTATCGTACCGATATATTTACATGTTTAGTTAAACTATTACAAACGATAATGATACTTTAGAGCGAGCTTTACAGTTGATTAGAAGGTTTGAGATACCAGTTATGACATCAAAGAATATCTAACTATTTATTTGTTTTCAGTACACTACAGAATTAACAATTACTAATGACACAATCATAGAACTAAAACAACAATTAAAGTACAAAAAACAACTAAATATAAAGAGAGAAAAACTTAAGGTAATCGCAGTTTTAAAATAACCTAACTAACGTTTAACCGTTTTGTAATAATTGGCATTATTATTAATTGAAAAAATCTAAAGAATTTACCAAAAATTCTAAACAAGTATTTAATGTTTAAATTAAAAAGACACGTATGAAAATAAAACAAACCTTCAAATTATTAATCTACATTGAACGTGACATTGTTAAATACAATCAACCATCACGTAAATTTTAGCTTATATAGAAAGGATCACTTGGGTAAACTCTCAGTCGAGATCGGACTAAGGTCCAGAACTTTCGCCCCAGGGGCGAAAGCCTTCGTTTTGTATTGTAAAGTAAAGTGTAGAGTATAGTTTTGTGTACGATGTGAATTATGGGTAAATATTTTAACTTAATTTTAAAGTATTTTTGTTTAATATTAATTGATTGATTGATTGAATGCCAATTTTACATTTTCGTCCCGAATTATATTTATCTTATGCATATCTTTATTACTATTAGTTATAGTGCTTTATTCCCTAAATGGAATTTTATTCATTTTTTTCTGAAGTCTATTTGTCAAGTTTTATATTTATTGTTAATATACATTTGTTAATGTTCTAATACTTATTATTAATCTCTCTTCTCTTTCCAAACCAGCAAAATACTCCGAGCATTTGAGAAGCCTCGGCGTTTCTATTCCCTTAGGACTAAAAGAGTCTAAAACTAGTTGCCAAGAACCGCTCGACATATGCTATTAAGGGATGTTTTGTTGTATTTTATTATTTTTTCTTTATTATTTTCTTTTGCCACTGGCGAATGGATGTTCCTTCAGGACTCCAGGACCCTAGGGTCGGTGACAGATGCTGCCTTTATCCCTTAATAGTATAATGACAACAGTAGCTAAAGACCTATCAGTAGTTGCAAATGGTCTTTAGGCTTGCCGGTTGTTATAGTTTCTGCAAGGAGTCTTTTGGACGTACCTATATCTAGTATCTCTATCAGTAAGCCTTGTGCAAAACAAATCAAAATAAACTTCAATTTGAAATCATAATAACTCCAAAATCACTATTTATAAATATACTGGTAATTCTTCAAAAATAGATATTTTAGAATTATAAGGAATTAATTAGGAATTGATAAATATTAATTCAACAACAGAATTTTTGAAATTAAAAGCTTATAAATTACCACAACCCATTTCATTCAATTAAAAATCTATTAATAGTTAATCAATCAAAAGCCAACTTCTCTCGTGCACTCAACATTCGTGTCGTTTTATCTATATTTTTTATTTAAAAGAAAATATTCCCTAACAAAACATAAAATTAAATTTTTTAGCTGCCGTAAAACCTGGTAAATAATAGATGATGTCTTTACACGATATCCTAAGAATAATATGTCGAACAATATCCCGCAGAGACAACTGCCATGTCGGGTGTCTATCGTACAAGTTTGTGAGGTGTTAAAATGAGGGAATTGAAACAAGGGTCTGGAGATTTTTGGGCTGAATCCATGCTCATGCTGATACATTCTTTATATCAGTTTGTTTATTTTTAATTTTTTATATTATTATTTACTAGCTTTATTCTTGAATAAGCTAGTTTTAATTCAATTACAACATATCTGGATGATAATAATAATAGTATAATAATAACAGTTTATTTACCATTTTTTTTTTTAAATAAAATTACAAATATATAATTATCAAAAAATACAATTTGTGCGTGATTAAAAAAATATATCTGGACATCAAAACAATGGAAATAGTAATAATTAAGCATTACATTAATTAAATTTATATTTTTTTTGTTTTTGTTTTTTTTTTGTAGCAGTTACTGCAAAAAGTGAGGATAGGTCAAATCAGGATAAGCGTTTATGATCAGGATAAATATTTAATGTCGGGCAAGCATCTACAGTCGAAATAAGCGTCTAGAATCGGGATTGTTTGTTATTAATTAGAATTTTTTGTGTTTATTTTTTGTTTGCTATTTTAAATATTGTTTATTACGTTACATGAGAACGATCTGCCTTTAAAAAATATCCATTTTTTAATTTTGTAAGTATATATTACTTGGAGTTTTTGGCCACATAATTTTGTCCCTAAGTATAAGAAGCTACGTTGACCAATAGCTTTATTACATTTTAATTCTCTAAATGTTTTTTTATTTCTAACATTATGAACTTGTACTTTTTTTATTAGGTCATTTTTATTTTTATAAGTATGTAACAATACTTTTTGGACGTATAATGTCAAAAACTTTGCTATCTTGGAACAGGCTTTCTGTGAAATACGTCCTCTCTTTACCATAAATTATTTTTAAAGCCCATTTTTGTATTTTGTTCAGGTAATCTAAGTAACAGTCGTTTATTGACAGTCATTTATACCTCCCCATCGAATGTATATTGTTTTTAAATGGTATATACCCAAAAAACTTTTCAGGAACTTAAAACGATAAAGTAGGCCCCTAATTTTTTGCACAACATTTTTCACGTGTTTATCCATGGTTATACCAAGATATTTTATGATCTCTGTTTCCTCAATTTTTGTAGTCTGTTCTATAATGAGTGATCCTACATTTGGAAAACTATTTGAGTAAGATATAAAAGGTAGGGTTGAATAATAGAGGTTTAATTGCCGGTATAAGACTCTTTTCCTCTTTTACAGCTAAAAAGGTATCTATAGCTGCTTAAAGTAGACAGAGGAAGTGTTTCTTCAGCTTTTCAATAGCTTTGGTAGTAGTTATTATACAGCGACTTTGTAGACAAAATTAGCGTTTTTTTTTTAACTTTTATACAGACTCATTTTTAACAAAGCGATCAGATTTTTTTTAGTTTTATTTAAAAATAAATAAAATAAAATAATTAATTTAGTTTTTTATCAACTTTTAAAATATTTAAACATTTTTTTTGTTTTCTATCTCCTTCCTGAATTCGAATTCATGCACCACTCACTTTTGATCCACAAGTACGCACCTTAACCTACTAATTCACCTAACAACCTGATAAATTAC